AGTGCACACAAGTTTACCAACAGGGGCGGACAATAAGAATGTACGGTTCCTTTTCTTTCAAATTTCTTCACGTGCATTAGTGTTTCCAACACTCATGTGGTTGGTTTTCGAGGGGATGGTTTTCGCCATGGGGCGCTGTCTAATGCGGTTTGAAATATGGCGGGGCAGATTACGCAAGCAACAAGCCCTGCATGAGTCATGGCACCAGCGCGTGACGCCACCGCTTGCCCCCAGCGATCCACCCAGAGGCACGGAGGGGAGCACGCATGCGTTTTGGGTCAAGATGCACTGTACATCATGCAGTGCATCATGTACAGGTGAGCAAAAACTTCGCCCGGTTTCCTCTCTCGGCCCTGGGCCCAGCGATGGCACGCGGTGCGCCACGCATGCCCACATCTCCGGACGTCTTTCCATCCATCGCGCCGTGCCCCTGACTGGAACACCCCACGCGGCTTCCAGGCAATGAGCGCCACATTGGACGCACCAAGACGTACAGCGCAATGTACGCACACCCGCTCAGTGCATTACTAGCGTAACGTTACCGGGTTCGCCCGTCACGGCGCACCACGGGAGCCCGACCCATCAACCGGGCCCCGAACGCTGGCGTTGGTGTTTGGGCACCCAGGCCCCGCATTCCCCCATTCGCCCATTCACCCCATTCGTTACGCGGACATCTCAGGGGGCCCAAAATTCGCTGCCCGGCGGTCCTGGGGTCACGGGGCACACGTGAGGGCGAGGGAGGAGGGAGGAGGAGGTGGCCGCAGATGCACGCCCGGCGCCTCCGCCCCGCCCTGCCGCTCGCCCTGCTTGCGCTGGCGGCCTCCGCCATCGCACAGGCCCCAACGCCGATCGAGGATGGCGCAAGAGAGCTTGGCTCCCTGGCATTTGGCCAGAGGGCCCTGTACAGCTTCGCGGTGCCGAGCAGGACGGGGAGGTACCCGACTGTGGACATCCGGCTCGATCAGATCAGCCGAGGGGGGCAGGTGGAAATGTTCTGCGTGACGGGGTCGACCTACGCCGTCGGCGGTGGCGGTGCCGAGGGGGGCAGGCGGGATGCCCCTGGGCCGAAGGTCTTCACGTGGCGCACGAATTTGACCAAGGGGGAGGAGACGATCGTGATCGAGCCGTCGGAGGTGGTGGGCGAGGCGGAGGAGCGGGGCGTGGGCGCGCCGGAGTTCGTCTGCGCGGTGGTGGCCCTCGGGGGGCCGAAGTTTAACACCGAATTCGAGGTGGACCTGGGGTACGAGTACGACACGGCGATGCTGGTGGGCGAGGAGCGGGAGCTGATGCGGGAGGTGTACCTGGCGTGCTGCGGCGGGCCGGAGGACTGCGAGAAGTGGCCGCACCAGGTGTCGCACTTCCCGTCCCAGGCGTTCGACGACGATGACGGGGAGGGGGCCGGACGGGGGGACGTGGAGCTGGACGGGGTGGTGAGTGGGGGGCCGCGCCTTCCCGCGCCGCTCTCGCGGTTTTCATTTTGGCCTCCACGCGGTGGCTGGGGGTTGACGGGCCCGGTCATGGGGCTGCGGGAGCTTATCAGAGATTTTGGATGCTGCGGGTATCGGCATGGGGCCGAATGGTTGCGGATGTTGCTCGAGAGTGGTTGGGACCGGGAATCGGCGTGCTCCCATAGGATCTGCCGCCCTGCGGCGCGCTGTTTTTCCTAGCCTCCAGCCAGCCGCGCTTCCCGGCGACTGTCGGACGGTCCCTTGCGTGCGAAACACGGGGCCATGGCCCATCGTTGATGGCTCGTGTATTTTGGCCATCCCCGCGCCCCCTGATGCGCTGTTCCGCACCCCGCGCAGATACTTGACTTCTGCCACGTCCGCGGCTGCGAGTGCAACTCGGAGGGGCGGCTCAAGGTGCTGGACCTGGACTACTACGGCCTCAAGTGCCCGTTCCCGCACCAGTTCGGCCTCCTGGAGGGCCTGTCGGACCTCCACCTGACGGGCAACATCCTCGAGGGCGATCTGCAGGAGGCGCTGGCCACCCTGGTGCCCCTGCGCCGCCTGCGCAACCTTTCCCTCAAGCGCAACAGCATGCAGGGCAGCATGGACGGCGAGGACGACCCTGAGCAGGAGGCCAACGCCTTCTGCAGGCTGGCCTCCAAGCTGGACTCGCTGAGCTTGGAGGGCAACGTGATCGGCGGCACCCTGCCCCCCTGCGCTCTGGACGGATCGCTCACACACCTCGTGGTGTCCAACAACCTAATCACCGGCAGCCTGCCACCGGTCAGTCGCACGGACAGCCCACTAGCGCTGTTCGGGGCCAGCGACAACGGCCTCACGGGGACCATTCCTGAGTCCTTTGGAAGCTTGAGCATGCTGAGGCACCTGGAGCTGTCCAACAACGAGATCACCGGCAGCCTGCCGCCCTCCCTGGTCGCCCTGCCCAGGCTGCGCTTCCTGCTGCTGGCAAGCAACGTGCTGGGCGGGGGCATCCCGGATGGGATAGCGGAGTCAGGCAGCCTGCAGAAGATCTGGCTGAACGACAACCAGTTCGGCGCCCTGCCCGACCGCTGGCTGCACAGCCAGGGGTCGGGGGCGCTCTCGGTCCTGGACATATCCGAGAACGCGATTGCAGGTGAGGGGGGGATGTGCGCGCTTTAACAAAAGTTGGAGGCTGCTGTATGGCTGCTTGCCGGTTGTTGAGAGCTCTTCAAAGCGTCTCCAGTTGTCCAAGCACAACCTGTTATCATGAAGGAAGAGGACCTGTGTTGGCGTTGGCAGAGCCTTTGAGACCCTTTTGCATGGAAAACGTTGATGAATAAAAGAATGCATGCATCCTTATAGCCCACGTGAAAATTGGCCACACTGGGCATATCACCTGTCTCAACAGAATGCAGCTCGTCAGGCAACGTCTGCCAGAGATCTACAATTGCTGGTGCAAAAGTTGACGAAGAAATCGAAAGTGTGGTTGGAGGGGCGATCAACACCAGCAGCACAGATAGCAAGGAGATTGCTGTCATCGATCTAGTGTTGGGATGCCATCGATGGCGTGCCTGCCCCAGCTTTTCGTTTGCCTCATCTCTTCTTGTACCACACGTTGATTCCACTAATTTTTCCAAGTGTGATGGCAGGCACATTCCCCCTGGGGCTGAGCCGAAGTCCCAATTTGACAACGGTGCAGATCAACAACAACGCCCTGTTCGGGTCTCTGCCACCTGTGGAGGGGCTGTTTCCCAAAACCACCAGAATCGAGTTCAAAGGCAACCAGTTTTCAGGCTCCATTCCTGACGAGTGGGGCACCCTGGGCTTGTTCCAAGCGGGCTCAGCACAAGACGTGCTGCCTCCCGTCCCTGTCCTCGATCTATCAGACAACGAGCTCACCGGCTCGATACCGGCATTCCTGGATCCCCAGGCCCCCCACTTCCCGAGCCGGCTGCGGGTGTACCTGGCAGGGAACAATCTGAACTGTGGAGACAAGGAGCGAATACAAGGGGACAAGGTGTTTGGGGTCGAATGTGCAGAAGTAGCGCTGTTGGGCAGCAGCGGCGGCAGCGGCGACAACAGCAACGACAGGACGGCGCACATCGCGGCCGCCGTCGGCCTCCCGGTCCTTGCGGCCGTTGCGATTTTCCTCATGTTCTTTGTGCGGAGGTCGACTGAGCCCCCTCCAGCGCCAGAGATGACCGAGATGCCTGCCGTCAACGAGCATGTCAAGGAATGGGGTGTGCCTGGCAGCGCTGGGAAGGTGTCTGCGAGAGCGACCGAGAGGATGGAGCACTGGAACTCTGGGTATTCGGGATATTCGGCGCATTCTGGCCCCTCAGGGCCGCCTCGGCCTCCAGGGCGCTCTCGGCGACCGCCCACCGTGTATGTGGACTCGGGCTACTCGGGACACATGGATTCGGGATACACGGGGCATTTGGACTCTGGGTACTCAGGCCACTCAGGCCACTCCGGGCTTATGGACTCTGGGTACTCCCGGCGCTCGCGCTGAAAGGAACGTTTGAAACGGGCTGAAAGTGCAATGTAGATATAGCTAGCAGTGGGAGGAGGGCCGGCTGCGTTCACAGCTTTCCCTGAGGAGCACGGGGAATGGACGCTTTGGTTGTCAAGGCGCCCTGGACGATTTTTGACTCGGTTGCGTGGCCCTTGCCACTGGGCAGCGATGACCGGTGGATCGTTGAGGTCGGCAGAGGATTGCGTTTGGCGGGCGTTGTGTGTGGGGTGGGGCTGTGGCTGTGGCTGTGGCTGTCTGTGATGCAGGGTGGAAGCGGTGCACAGCATCAGCTAAGCAATTCATCGACCTGCCCAAGATGGTGGGGGGGTGGGGGGACACCACAGTGCTTGCACACAAGCCAATGGTCCGTGGGGAGAGTCAGACGGGATTGACAGCAGTATGGAGTGGATGTTGGTTGTCTCGTGTCTCAGGCCGGCTTTTGGCGAGGTGTTGAGATGGCATGTTCGTTTGAATTGGAAATGCGAAAATTCAAGTGTCGAAGGCGCCATAACGACATCTCTGCCACGGATGGACTGGTGAAGTGGACAGCCAGGGTGGTGAGGAGCTGGCTCATTCCGGTCGTGTTGCGTTAGGGTTCGCAGAGGTTAGTGGGACATCACCTAGCGGATTTGTGTTGCTTTGTACACTTGACCCTGCATGGATTGTGACATGGGGGCGAATAATCAATTGTGGGAGAGGCTTTGACGCCATGCAAGTGCCTGCACGAAGGGAGCCTGTGTGCTGGGAAGCGTTGCGGACAGTTGAATTGGTCGCTGCGGCGCCGGCTCATAATTTATGTACACGCAAGGGGACTCAGGTTGCGGGCGTGTGGCGAATGTGCACATGAAGTCGCAATGCTACGTTCTTTTTTTGTCGCCTTCAACTCTGAGGAGATCGAATTTTCCAAACACTGCTGGCTCTGCCTTCTTTGCATGTGCATTAGCCCCTGCCTCTGGCGGCACGGTGCACAAGTTGCTGTTGACTCGTGCACTGCAGCGTTCCACGTGGTGTGCCATTGCACTATATTGCGATATGCCCCCCACCCCACCCCCCCACCCCATCCCCCACCCACCACCCGAATAGAAAAAACAGTGCCAAATTGCTCTTCTTGGGACTGAATCGTTTCAAACGATCCATCTAGATGGTGTTCATGTGAGGTTTCGCAAGGCTAACAGAGTATTGAACGCGGTGAGACATGATCCTTTGGTTGTATGCGTCCAAGCAGACAACAAGGCGCAAGCAGCCCCCCACCCCCCTCCATGGGGAGCAAGGGGCACTCGCCCAGTTCACAGCGCCGCGGCGCGCCCCGTGCCTGGACCCACAGCAGGGTGTTGCAGCCCCTTGTCAACATCGCTGCATTGTCTCAACCCACGGGAGCCGTAGGCCATCACCCAGGCCACTGTCTGCGTGCCACCATTCCTTGCGGGCACTGGCGTCTTGCCACAAACCAACCACTGCCATCGGATATTTCTGGTGGCTATTCGCAAGACGATGCAACCGCAAGCGGCGTCCCGGATGTCCCCGCCTGGAGTGTGCAGCAGTTGTTTAGGTCATGCCACGAGCATGTGCGCACCATCAAACATTTGGCGAGGACCTTGTCATCCAAACAAAGGAAGAGCGCAGCGCATCCTAGTGCACCCACTCAAATTTTCTCATTACACCCGTCATGCCATACGAGCACAGCCCTTGCACAGAACAGGCCATGACGGGGGCGAATCCACACACATTATTCGAAAGCGTTTGTTCCTTTATCCACAACTGCCCAGGCGTACCAATGTTTCAATACGCTTCCTTCACGTACGTCCACGCAATATGCATCAATCAGAGTATGCTCAAACTCGTCAAACCTGATCGGAATAGGCACAAACAATACACAACAGACGCAAAATTTTCCAGCCTACCCAAAATTGGGAATACGGGGTGGCTGCTGAAGCCCCGCCTTTCACGCAACTGCTTGCCACCAATTACGGCATGTCAACATCGACAGCACCACAAGGTCCATCGCCACAAGCCTACGCGGGCCGTTGAAGGCCAAAAGGCTTGGTATCGCCAACATCCCATCTTCCCAACAACCTCTCTCGACTCCTCTCAAACTTCTAACGCGACACTCAATCTTGGTAGGCCCAGGATATGTACGCCTTCGGCAAAACGGTGATCCGCTGTTCCCACAACAAAGCATCGTCACCAGGATCCTGAAGACGGCAGTGGCAACAATAAAGTATCGCCACCAGGGTCCTAAAGACGAGAAAGACGGGAAGGAAGACGGGAAAGAAGACGAGACGAGAATGAAGACGAGAACAAATGCGAGAATAGGTGCGCCTCCTATATTGGAGGAGACGAGAATAAGTGCGCCTCCTGAGGCGATCATGTTCGACTGCGTCTTGCGCTCTGATGCGGACGAAAAACATATCCGCGCGGCCACTCCCAGTGGCTCCACCCAGCAGAGTGCGCAGTCACTGCCCAGACTTTGGCTGCGCCTCCTCTAAATTGTCCACAGCGTCCTCATCCATCCCCCTCTCCATCGGGTGCGTCTCCTCGTCCCCATAAAAGTCTTGGTCGTGCGGAGAGGCCGCCATGACCGTGGGCAGCGCGTCCGAATCCCCGCTGAAGTCGGCGTCGACGTCGACGTCATCGAAGGCGCCAGATTCCTGGGCGGCCCGCACCGCCTGCTGCAGGTCGCCAGACGCCGTGGCGGCGTCCTGCGCCGCCCGCTCTGCCCGCAGCAGCGCGTCCAGCACCTCCATTGCGACCTCCCTGCGGTCCTGCAGGTCGTCGCCGTCTGCGAGGCAGGACCACAGAACAAACTACTTGGAAACTACCACTGAGGACTAACAACTGGGGAGGATGCTGATGCGTGTGATGCCGATGTGTTGGTAAAGCACAATTCCGGTGGCACATGGGAATGCTGCATGGGCAGCTGCGGGAAGCGCGTCACCAATGCAGGGTCACGACGTCAATTCATGCCAGCATTGATTCTCACTGACGTGCGACTATCTAGTTAGGACTCCTCATGTGCATAATTCCACATGCAACACTCGGGTCAGTCGTCTTCATATTTTACGGGGTCCCCCTCCCCCCTCCAGGTGCCGTGTAAGAGAAGCCGGGCAAGAAACACACCAAGGTGCCTTACCCCGGACCCCATATTGTCGTTCCTTCTGCACGATTAATGGTGTGTCAGGACCTTCACGTTATATCTTGCAGTGTGAAATACAGCCTCACAGCCTCGTCAAGGAGGTGCAAATCGCTCGATGCGTCCCATCTCCATTCGGATAGTATCCGGCCATGGCAGGCAAAACATGACACCACCGGTGCAACCATAGATATAACGTGGTGCATTTCCAGGCACCCTCCCTGTCTTGGAAGCCGACAGGGGATTTGTGATGGGCCCACGGCTCCACACTTTGGCCCCAGAATTGACACTGTCATGAAGTCAGCAGCAAAATTCAGACTGCTCCAAGCCAACCTTTGTCAGCGGTTTCGGCAGTGGCGCGTAGGGGCGTTTCGGATCCTGCTGCTGTGGACATTGAAGCTTCCCCGTCTGTGGCATCTGGCAGCTGCGCGGAATTTTCCAGAACACCTTCTACAGTGCCCTCTTCCGCAGCGCTGGCAACATCTTCGTGCTCTCCCGGTTCACCTTGCCATCTGCAACCAATTTGACGTGCATCAGCTGCAGAGTGACCTCAATTCATCTGTTTGCACAGTCTCTTTGGCACACACATGAACAATGATATCTGGGCGGTCATGCAAAGTTGCCCATGGTGATCTGCATGCTGGAACTCACGACAATCGGTGCCCAGCACGAGCAGCTCCACATTCGCTCGTCCAAAAGCCATATATTTTGCGCACAAGGTTGCTTGGAGGCTTGGCCTCTGCCATGGCAAATGCCATCAATGTGATTCACACACCGCTTGTTTCTGCGCCTGTTAGGGTAAGCAGGGCCATGGAACTGCTTGCATAGGAATGGCGGGGCAATGTCGCTCAGTGGTGCTTAACGGACGACGTACAGGTGAGCTAAATGTCGAATCTATGTGCATGTCGGCCCTTAAAACCACGCTGGCACCATGTGATGTGCTCAGAGGCTGCCACCAGAAACAACAGCAAGCCTGTCATTGCCAAGCTGCTGTTATTGCAACTGTGAAACATAGCGAATCGTTATGCTGACACCAAAAAGCTGTAACCGCCTGTTCTTACTCTGAATCGCTTTCCTATCTTGCTAGCCACACTGTTCCCGACACCATCACCGTGGTGCATGTCTACCAGTGTTGCCATTCAATATTCTGGCCACCATTAGATAAGGCAATTCAATAGCTGATGCCACGAAAATGGGTTCCTCAGCAGCGTGGCTCAAATTGGTTTCCTTGACACCTTTCAAGCAGGTGGACAGAGAGCAAAACACCACTGCATTACTCCAAGCGAAAGTCAGCAGTCTCTCGCAGAGCTGGCTTTGTTGCCCATTATTGCTTCTGACACTGACCCCTTTGCTCCTATTAACATAAGCATCCCTTCTCCCAGCTCAGCAACAGCCGTTAACGCACCCTGATATCCAATCCAGAGAAGCTGGTCCACTCCCGTGGACTGCCTCTTGTCTCTTCCCCCAGCCATCAGGCTCAGCCACACTTGGCCGTGGTGCTGCTCTTCCACCTTGGGCTTTTACGTCAGTGCCCTTGAGCGAGTTCAAAAGCCGAATGCGCCACTCGTCCATTGCAGGTACCAGTGCACGAGTCATGTGATTTAAATCTGATGCAACCTACTCATCAGCCACCAATCACAGCATTAGAACAACATCGAATCATCGACAATCACAAAGGACACGTGCAATTTGTGTACAAAACCCTAGCTTATTTTTGTCCTCTGAAAGTTCGCAAACAACACATTGATGACATACATGAATTTGGCTTTTGCAAGCTGACACCAGAGAACAAATCAGACTTGTGGCAACGATTCCTAGAACAAGCGGCATATGCATGCTGTTGCCTCTTCTCAGGAAGGCCCTCTCTGCTCATTGCTTCAGTTGTGGTGCATCTCCTTGGGACAAAAAGGAAACTCCTGGAACCTGCATCAACAGTCTTCATCGCCTCACATTACTGTGCTTGGATATTGGTCCACACAATTACCAAGATTCCTGACTTGAAAGCCACGAAACACTTGCTGCAATGGAGCCCCTGATCAACGATCTGCAAAAGATATGATGTCAGTGCAATATGATGTGATTAAAGACACGTTACGATGCTATTCGACGATCACCTTCGAAATGCCGCCCATCGTCTGCTTTGTGATAGCCTCCATTGCTGCCTGGCCCTCCGCCTCCAGACCCATAGCTGAAGGCACCAGCAAACCATCGTCTGCTTGCTCAGATTCCTCCTGACGATCCATTGGAATGTCCCCGTTGTTTTTCCCTGTGGAAGGCCGGCGTTTTCGCCTCCGCTTTGCTGAGCGGCGTAGTGAGAAACCACCACTCAACATGTTCAGTCTCTGCCCGAGGTCCTCAAATTCTCTGACCATCACAAACTTGTCAGATTCTTGGTCCTTTGCTTCTTTCCATACGCAAGTGAATACCGCAGTAGGATAACATTGTCCAAACATATGACATCTTGTCATTAGCGCTCTGTCAGCGCAACACACTCCACAATAATGGGAAACAGGCAGCCAATGAAGCTACGACATAGAGAATCTCAAACATGTACACAGTGTGGCAAGCATCAGACCATATCCACTCCCCCCTTCATCGTCTTGCCTTTGCCAATTGCAATTTTCACCAATGGACCTCTCCCAGACATTCTTTGGCAAGGTACTACTTGTCCGTGCTATCGACTCCACTCAAAGGACTGACACAGGTTGTCAAGGTGCATTCAAGCTGTACATGAGTATGAAAATTCTATGCAGTGTTCCCCATAACATGAAATTATCCCCAACAAAGTGCCTTGCTGGGAATGTCCCACTGAGCAACCTGTTCCTGTTGTCAATATGGCATCGTGCCTAGCAATCCTGCTCAAAGGAATTGCTTCAGGGTGCTGGGTGGCTGCTAGAGTCAGCAGCAGTGACCATTGAGCAGCCATGGCACTGATCGGTTCCGTGTTGATAATACGCAATGCAGAGGTCATCGATGCTGAGTGATTGCGCACTGTCACAACATGTACTGCAATCAAAGATTCGTCAGGCACCTGTTCCAGGCCCTGTTTGAGGGATGGGGTAATGTCGTGGACCTGTTTATGGATGTGCCAGCATGCGATGAAGGCAAAACAGTTTGTCGTGTTGCTCCTTGGAATCTGATCACCAACAACAACTCACCTGCTTGCTTGCTCCAGAGCCTTCAGTGTTGGTGGTAGGTCCTCCTCAAACATGATGGCTGCCTGTTCAAGTTCCTCAGCAGCCACTTCCAGCTGCCCTGCAGCTTCTTCAGTAGCCTTGCATGCCTCATCAATGGACTGCGCAAATGCATGTGGAACATTGCTACCTGTCAAACAGCTGCTTCAACAAACCTGTGGTAGAAGCAGTGCTGATATTCAGCTGCCAAGGCAGGGACAAAATTTGCCTTTAGTCTCAAAAGCAAAACGATCCAACGACCACGAAGTAGGTGTGTGCCCATTCTCTGAACACATGTGCCACAGACATAAACAGAACAAACAATCTGCAGATTCCCAGAAGCCCTGTGAATCATGTGCAAGTTCCAGTCCATCCGCCAGCACCAGCGGCAATGGAGTGGACACAAACACCAGAACACATCACTTCTGTCATGCAGTCGCGGATGCACATCTTTTAGGCATGTGTTCAACAGTTGAGCAAGTGTATTTCCACTGCCGCTGCAAGTCAGAATGTCGGTTAGGACTTGCCCCACACTGTAGAGTTTTCATGGCATCCCATGCCTCGCATTTGCTACATTGTTCTTGATGAATGGTTGCACACTGTCTTATTGCCACACAAATGTTCCTCTGAGCCAGCTATGCAAGCTGGGTTCAGGAAGCCTGACAACAAAGCCTGGCCCGCAATTCTGTAGGGTGGTGCTTGTCTCGAATGTCAAGAGCAAAAAACATTTGCACAGCCACTGCTGCATCTGTGGGGAGCACTCAATGTCGCCATTTGCCCCCAGATATCCCCACATTGCAGCATTAGCACAAGCAGCGATTTGCCGAACATGGATGAATGCAATGGCCTGAATTCTGGCCATTTATGACAAATCTATTTTCAAGAATACAACCCAGAATCTGCCTATGTCAGCTCTCTTCAACCGGGCAGTCATGTCATCCACACACCTGTGGGCTGTGTTTTGATAGGGGTGCAATGAATACTTGCCTTCAGAATGGGCCTAATGCACACTATGAAGGCTGCCAGCAAACCAGACACTGCCGCTATTCCTGTAAAAGTGACCACGTATAGAGACCACATCCAGCCGCCAGCCCAGTGGGTGCGCTCCTGGCACTTGACTGTGGGCATCATGGGAGGGGGCCCTGTTGGCACAGACTGAAATGTCTGCCTTCCTTCAGGCAGTGATGGCTGCGCTCGACAGCTTGTGTTCCTGGCACTGGCATATTCAGAAACAAGCATGAGTAGAGACAAGGCTATGGCACAAGCCATCAGTGTGTGCACCACTGTGGTGTAGCCGAGAATATGAGGCAGGCTACACATTGGATCAGTCCATCCAAACAAGAACAGTTGGCGATGCTCTTGTGCAGTATGTGCACATTCTGTGTCTGTATTTGCTACATATTTACATTTGTATTTATATTTGTTTGCCACACATTTGCTATGTTTTGGGGGGTTGGGGTTGGCTGGGGTTGGGTGGGGGATTGCTGTTGCTCTTGCTGAGATAAACGAAGTGTCAACATTCATAAATCTGTGGGATCTTCTCCCACAAGTGAAATTCCTGGGACAACACTGCCAAAGACAGAAGTCGAAAATACCGCCCTTGCCCTTGCACCACACATGTTATGACAGCTGCATGGGAGCCAATGTTTGGCGACTCAAAGTCCTAATCACCTCAGCGGGTCAGCATTGTGCACACAGCACATAAGAGACAACGGACAACACAAGGGGGACTGAGCGAAGGGGCTGGGACCCTTGGGGCATCCAAAAGAAAACATGACAACATTCCATGCACCACCACCACTGACTACTGGCCACACATAGCAAAATCTGTGGACACAGGCGGGTGAGGGTTGCACTAGAATACGCTGTCGCAAGGGTTCTGGGTTCATGCTTTTATGAATATTGCTAGGCGACCAATGGTTGGTGGTGTCCGCAGCACCTCGGGATGACCAGAAAATGGCAAGCCAGTAAGGTTTGCGTTTGATTGCTTTCCCTGTCATGTGCTGCTCCTGTGCAGTCAGCACTGCTATATCACTTTCCACACCATGGAAAGGAACTTCAGATACAACCTCTTGCTCAAGTGAGGGATGCCCAATGCACAGACAAGTTATTTTCTGCTGCACAGACAACCACCAGACGAACACCCAATCGCCACTGATTTGGAGGAATGCTCAAACAGCAGAGTAGTGGGCACCCCAATTTTCGTGAAATCAATTGGCAATAATGTACATAACAGGACGTTACACACATCCCTCACACAACTCTTCAAGTTTTGGCAGCTGTGCAGCAACACAGCACTTTTGCATCGACCATCAGCTCACTGCAGCATTTCAATAGCACCTGAACACCCAAACAGTGCGAAGTGCCTGGAACACAACCCCAACAACACTTGCCATGGCCAATTCGACATTGGGAATCTTGCACTGTGCAACACTCCTTACTGTACAACAGCTATTCTTCTTCAGCAAAGCATGCCATGTGCGCCAAGTACAGAATGGCTGGCTTTTGTGCAAGATAGTGGTGAATGAGTTTCCAGTTTGGGAAATTATACTTCAATAAGAAGAGTTGCACGTAGCTCTCACAGCATTGCAGTCACGGCGCTTGACAGCAAGAAATGTACCCAATCAGTGGCAACCCGGTTTCAGGCCATTTGATCATGGCTGGCTGCAAGTTTTCTGTCCAATTTGTTCCTCTCTTCTTTGCCTGCCGTTCCTATCGGACTACGAGACATCCTCGTCATCTTTTCCACCACGGTGAAGTGTCCCATATCTGAATTCTCGCTCTGGCGGGTTTGCGAAAGGTCTATTGCATTCTGTTGCAATGAGAATGACAATCTGCGGAGCGCGCCATAGCAGATGGTGAACAGCAGCAGAAAAGGGCAGTGAGGAAGCAAGGGAACACAACAGGCGCTCAGAAAATGAGCAAAAGCGATGCTCCTATGGCAGGTTTTGTTAGCAGCGCGGTGTCAATCAGACAATCAGCCCCGGCCAACGACCAACGACCACGGACGCAGATTGATCGACAGCCAGCGACGGCGAACCGTCGTCAGGTGAAGAAGGGCGGCGCTTCGCGGCGCGGGATGGGCTCGCACCTTCTCTGGGATCCGACGGGGTCCGCGCCGCGCCGCGGAAGACAGACAGCCGGTTTCGCCGCAGCGATCTCGGCCCCTCGGGCGGGAAGCCAGGGATCGGTCAGGCGCCAGCGTCCGTTGGCCGACGGCTTGCTCATGATCGGCACCCGTGTTCCCAGTCAAAGGAGCAGGGCCCTGAGGGAGGGTGCGGTCCGCAGACGAGCCCGGGCGTGGGCACGTGGCGGGGGTGCTCGCGTGCTGTGGGCGCGGGGCCGAAGGGCACCCAAAACGGACAAGGGATGAGGGGCACACCCCGCAGGGGACGTGGCAGCGACGTGGCCAACGAGCAGCAGCCCAAACCTTGCCCTACCATTTTTCCAAACGGCCTCCTCGAAATCGTGATCCGCGATGGCAATCGCCGAAGCGGCGGCTTGCTTGAGAAACAATTATGTTGTCAACTGATCACGGGGAAGGGGATGACTAGCCTGGGTCTTGCAAGGCCAACTTGGAACGGGCGCGTTAACTCGACCCACGTGGAGTGGTAAAATTGACGTCTTTTCCGATGAAAATTTCGTAACGTGATTTGGTGCGGAAATTGCAGATCCCTGTACACAAGAGGGATTCACAGAGAATCTAGATGGGGGCAGTTTGGCACGGTAGTGGGATTATATGACGGCTGTTTGTTCAGCATCCTTGACGGCTCAAGGTAATCGCAGTATGCTACTGCGTAGGCATCGATGCATTGCTGCTTACTACGATTCCATGACTCCACGATAGAAAAGCGCAAATAAACGAGAGACCAGCGACCGTAAACTGTTGTGCTCCAAAATAATTGCCAAGTCTCAAACAGGAAAACCTCAATTAGCAAATCTCGATGAACATTGCATTAATTGGCAGAAATACCCTTCCACAAATGATGCTTGTTTGAATCTCTGTCGAATCATCACGTGAATATCTTTAGGTTGCTCACGTTTTCCCTTCACGTCACGCGTTGCACGTTGCTTGCCATACGACAGGCGCTGTCGAGGACTTAGTCAGGATCACTCGTCAAGGACCCTTGACCAGCATTGCAATGGCGGCGGCCTTGTCAACATCTGTCCGGACAGGTGTTGGCAAGGCCACTTCCCATTGCCATGACAGTAGGATGGGCTCCCATTTGAACTGCGGTCGAAGAATTTGATTATTAGTACGCGAAAGAGTGCTCTGACTCTATGTGGAGACTTTCTGATAATGCTTATGGAGGAAGGGAATAATTCAACCTGAGATAGCTGGATACTATTATGTGCTTTAGAGCTATGCGGGTTCGTCTGTTTGTGTAACTATTTTCGAAAGAAGCGTCCATATACTAGTGATGCACATTGCATTGAAATGGGATTAGAAAGATCGCCATTGGCGTGCACCTGCAAATGCCCTTGAAAGTTTTGCAAGCTATTAAAAGCGCACATTAATGGCAAAAACGCGTCCACGTTTTTGCACCTTGTCAGTGCACTGCAGTCACTTCAATTGAAGTAAAGAGATCAGAAAACTGAATCACAGTTAGGAAATGCCTCTTTGGCACTCCCGGGTTGGGTCCAGTGTAGACCTGAGCCCGAAATTCTGACACAGACAATATTGTCCATGTACAAAAAGCCGTTTACAACAGTAGATGCGGTTGCTCATGTGCTGGATTCGAACACTGTTCAAATTTTGCTTTGAAGGTCGACAAAGCGACAACAACAACGTGCTTGCTTGTAAATATGTCATCAGCGGGAGCCAGTTGGTGGTTTGGCCATATCCAGTCTCTGCTGAGCGATGAGAATATGTCATGCCTTACCAGAATCGGTCCCTTGGGTGCGCTAAAATCGAACAAATGTGGCTGCAAGAATTGCCCCCATGCCGCGTGACCTTCGTATGTGTGGAGTAATTACCCCAGTGTGGGGTAATCACCCCAGGTGGCCGACGGCCCCGTCCCCCTCTCCAATTCCCCGGGGCACTGGCCAGGGACTTGGGCGGCTGCGCCCCTTATTGCGCTCCAGAAGGGGTAGCGCTTGGAGAGCAGCCAGTGAGCGTGTCAGCTTCGTTCTTGGCGACTAGAAACTTTGAGCGATGCCGCGAGGCTCTCCAGGCAATTGCCAAACTAATTTACATAGAGCAAGAGCAATTGCGGCCCAATGCTGAAACTATCACACAACTTCAATTACTTGCGGCCCTGCCAATGGGGATAATTCTACAAGCACGGTAAGCGAATGCTCTTTTTGGTCAGTGTCGCACCTGGCATAGAACATAGAACATAGAACATAGAACATAGAACACTCGCACTCTCTGAATATTGGCAAAAGCATTATAATCACCAGTAGAAAACAGCCTCTTCGCGATGCCAACCGCGATGCCATTTGACACAAATTGATGCCATCGCAGTCCCTTTTATGCCATGGCACTCACTCTGACGGCATCAATTTGTGTCAAAATGGCATCGCAGCTGGCATCGCAAACATGAACGTTGTTTTGTGAATGTTGTTCTTTGCCGAGAAACGTCATACGAGAGCATATGTCTTTGCGTACGCCCTAGTTTGCACATTGATCGAACTTCACATTCAATGTTGCCGATGCACCAACGCACTTTCACGCATGTGTGTTGTCAACGAGAGCCAACATCTCGTTATGTTCTTCCAAGCACTGAAAAGCTATCATGCCTCAACAAGTGCGCCCTCTTCTGAGGCTTTACTTCAATGAACGTGATTTGAAGAAAGGCGGAAGCCGACAGCAGAAAGCCGCCCTGTCGCGACAGGGCGGCATTCGATCGAATGCAGTTTCGGGCACTCCAATTGGCGAGCGATGAACACGGCGGTTGCAACGGACAACTATCGTTCCCCTCATCAGAACAATCACGCAGATGATGCGACTTGAAATCGACCGCTTCTGTGCTGAAGGTAAAAGCAGATTTGCTGCCCAGCTGTGCTTCCCGCATTTCAGAAGCACAACGCGTATTATTGTCATAAATAGCAAACCATGGCGCCCTTTCTTCAAAAGCGTGTTAGAATACGGTCACGTTTTGCGCAAGGCATTACGTGCAACAATTGTGTCGTGTCAACTCCTATTATGCCTCCAACTGAAGTCACGCAAGTTTGATGCGCTGCACGCAGTCAAACTCAGCTGAAATGCGCCCCATGAGTCCCAAATTCTGTTAATATGGACGGTGATGGGCGAAGTAATTGGCGTGTTGACTCAGCGGCAGAATTCAAGACGGCTTTGCGCAGCACATGCAATAGACATAGACCGTTCTGTGTGCATCTCATGTCCTTAGGCGCGTTGGTGGGTGTTCTCCACATGTTTTATGATAATTTCCAGCTCATCTTGAATCGAAGTTAGGACAACCAAGAGCTGCTAAGAAAATCCATGCTGCAAATGAAGCAATCGTACACTGGGCGTCCCCCTTGAACAACGATATGGCTGCTACTTTCTACACAATACCGGACATTCAGCAACGGTCGTCAATGCGAAGTGTGCTGCATTCCATCACGCTTGAGCAGCCCGTCTAGAGCAAGGCCACAGGGGAGATGGTAACACCGAGTACGGGAGGTACTCTGTCGGGTCGCACCACGGAGGCGGGCCTGGAGTCTGTACGACAGGTGCGCCTGACAAGAGCTTGCGTGGCATCGCACTCTGTGACAGAATCCCATCATCGCTCAGTCGTTAATTTTGGCTGCCTTGATTGCTGCCACTCCAACGTGGTGGTCCATTCCCACCCCGCCGCCTTTGCGCCCGCTGCTCTAGTTCTCGAAAATGGGTCTCATCGTCATCGCGCTTGCTGTCTGCGATCCCGCGGCCAACAACTCCTCCGTGGAGCTCTCGTGCCGGCTGGCCGATCGCAAATGATGCACTGCCACGCAAGCTTGCTTGTAGGTGAGGACGCCGTGTAGTACCGTGCCGTGGATCGCAATTTGCCCCCGGAGTCGGCCAACTGCCACCTTGCCTGACACTGCGGACATCTTTATGTGCGGGCCTACTCCCGTCCGCCAGGCGCCCGTCGTGAGTGGCGATTTCCGGCACTAGGAATGAGAACCTCGCATCGAATGGACGGCAACAACGAACCCCCCATGCTGCCTGAATCGTTAGCTGTTTGAATGCGTGGAAGAGACCGCCTTGCCGCAGTAGCCGCCCAATCCACCGTGCGTTCCGCCGCGAGAGCGATGGCGCGAGGAGCCAGGACATTGAGCATGAGGGTGGTTGGGTGACGGTACGCTGTGGGTGATCCAAGGTGATTTTCGCAACTTGTGAGGCACGCGCCGCGCGCGTGATGTGTTGCCCGATTGGGCGAGGGCGACGAATGGCGGCCGCGAATCACGTCCTGCGCCATCGGGCAACCCTTGTGCCCATTAGCAGGATGGACGACCGCAATTCGCGCGATCGGGTTGTGGCGGTTCGTCGACTTTCGATGGCCGGCTTCAAGACCGACTTGGACCTGTGGGTGGGAATCGAGCATGGTTTGGTTGTTCATGGTTGGGTCCCACTGTGCCTGCCCTCGCTTTCCCAAGTGCAAGGGCCTTGTTGTGTCGTGTGTTTTGACATACACGAGCAGCGGATTCCATGCGCATATATGCTGTTATCGAATATGACAATGCACGGGCTTTGCAGTAATGACGCGGTGGACGGCGCTGCTAACAGCTGCAGGTGTGTCTCGCCAGCATGTAGTAATCGGCAACGTCCACATGAGCATCTTAAGGACGATGCTTGTTGAAATCAATGCTCCGCAGCATACGGTAGCTTGCAACGGCCCGCGGTGCCCATCTCAAAATTGATGACAAGCTGCTAAAGTACTTCTGGTGTATCATTACTTTTACCTCACTCATTTTTGGCATTGCTTCCCTTGCTTGGCCATTGACACACCGCCGAACAGCGCAACAACAGGCCAATTTCGCCGCCATTTGGCAATTGTGGCATTCTCATCTAGGCTACTCCGCATTAAAAACATGAGCATCGCTGTGGTGTCCCTTCGCATTGCGCCATTGAAAACCCACTCGATAGTGTTGCACTATTTGTAAACAAAATACAGACGTTATGTGTTATGAAAAAAATGAACATCTGAAAGACGGCAGCGTGCAGTGTATTCGTTTGCCCTTCTGTGCGTATGTGCTTCAAAGGGGCTCAGCTGCAAGTGAGGCATTGTCACGCCATGGTG